TGCAAAGTCCTGTATCTGTGTGGGAATAACCCCTGCAATGATACAGGCTGGGGTTTGATGGGCTGGGGAGCAGCTCTGCTGAAAAGAACTTGGGGATCTTGGTGGACAAAAGGCTGCACAGGAGCCAGCAACGGGCCCTAGGAGCGAGGCAGGTCAGAAGTGTCCCGCTTGAACAGGAGCTTGGCCAGTGGTGGAGGATGTAATTGTCCCTTGCTACTTGCCACTTGCTGCACCACATGCTTAGGTTGTGTCTAATATTGTTCTCTCACCCCACCCCCAAATACAGGACAGAAGTGAATGAACTGGAGCAAGCCCAGTGAAGGGCAGCCAAGGTGGTCTTCACTTGCCCTGTGAAGACAGGCTGAGGGATGATATTTGTTCAGTCAGGAGAACTTTGATGAGATGTACAGTCCATTAATAAAGATGTCACTGTCTGAAATCACAGGTGTCAGAGGAGTGAGTACTGGAACAGTGTGACAAACTATGTAACAAAATGTCTCAAAAAAAAGCTGTTCTGAGCATCCATTTGACTGATTTCTTTCAATTTGTCTCTGATCCCATTCATCTGGAGATCTGGAACTCAGCTTGGGATCAGGATATTGGAATGCACTGACATTGTCTGTCATTTTTATTGTGTCAAATGAAATATGCCTTACCTTTAGACTAATAGATTAGTATGTGACCATGTGTTTTTGATAGCATGAGAGTTCAAATGTTTGCTTATCGAATTGACAGTGGGAGTGTGAGAAAGAAGAAGCAATTGCAGACTTTCAGAAAATAGAGTTAAGATTTTCTTTTTTCTTCCTTTTCTTTGTTAAGCAACACATCTGAAAGAATGTTCTTTGGCATCTGTCTTTTCCTGAAGGCCTTCAGAGGAGATCCCCTGAGATTTACAAGAAAAAGAGTCCAATAACTGAGCCACACACAAAAGAATGATAATTATTATTAACATTTACATTTTTAAGCAACGGCATTTCTCAAATAAATGTCAGCACTGGTGAAAGGTAGAGTACCAATCAGCAGTGCTGTGAAGAAAGACAGACCAAGTGTACTGCAAGTATGTCCTTACTCTTAGAGTTCCATAGAGCATTTTTATGCTTTTAAGAGTGAAAATAGGATTTTGGTTTTTAAGATTATGCTTTACACATTCTTCCTGCTTTAAATTAGAACAGTAAGGAGTTGAGTCACCTTGGCTTTTGCTTGTCAAAATAATCAGGAATGACAGGTGAATTAGAACTGAGCCCAGATCTCAACAAAAGCATATTTGTATTTGGAAACAAAATGTGCTGTTCTCCCCCCAGACCCCTCTGACATTTTATTTGCCTTCCCATACTCTTGTTTTCACTGCACTTTTTGGCCTGATAATTATTAAAATAGAACTGTAAAAACACAGTTCTGCTCCCAGACTTGCTGTGATACTATCTTGTTGGAGTCTCTGTTTTTGAGATCTACCCCAGAGAGGTTCTGTTGAAGTTGAGATAAAGAAGTAAGCTTTTGAGTACTTGACTTTGTTACTTAAGCATTAATTTAGTGCTGAATTGGAGGATTTAGGGACATGAGAGGTTTTGACTTCAAATTTTATCTGTTTGAGATTTTTCATAACTGCACTTGCCCTGTTTTTCTTGCCTTTTAAGGTAAAAGTAAACTAACACAAACCTGTCATTAACTGAATCTTCTTTATTTCATCTTTTCCTTCTGTGATGGGACAAAGGATGGTGTCCTGGGTTCAGCAGTAGCAGCCGTTTTTCTCCTTCTTCGTACCTGGTGTAGTGCTGTGGTTTTGATTTTCAGCCTGGGAACAGCATTGATAACACCAATGTATTCAGCTGTTGCTAAGCCATGTTTAATCTGACCAAGGACTTTCTCAGTCTCATGCTCTGTCAGGGAGGAGGGGAAGCCGAAAGGAAGCAGAGACAGGACACCTGACCCAAACTAGCCAAAGAGGTATTCCATACCACAGCACGTCATGCCCAAGATGAGAACTGGGGGCGGTTACTCAGAAGGGCTAGATCACTGCCAGGGTTGGGCAGGGTATTGGTCAGCGGGTGGTGAGCGGTTGTATTCTCTTCCCTTGTTATTTCCCTTATTATTATTATTATTGGTGGCAGCAGCAGTGGTTTGTGTTCTACCTTAGTTACTGGACTGTTCTTATTTCAACCTGTGGGATTTACATTCTTTCAATTCTCCTCCCCATCCATCTGGGAGGGGGCAGGTGAGAACGGGGGGGGGAGTGAGACAGAGACTGTGTGGTCTGATTTATGGCTGGGCTTAAACCATGACAGCTGAGTAGTATAATTCCAGTTTTGAATGGATGAAAGAAACCTGAGGAACTTCTGGGTTGGATGATTTCTGCTGTGAAGTGTGATGTACAGATTTTATTTGTGTGAACTGAAACCAAATGCTGTCTCTAGTTAAATGGAGTTTGTGGAGCGTCCCTTCATCAAAAGGAGAAATCTAAAACCTGAACAGCATTACAGAAGCATCCAGTAGTGTAGGATAGTGCTTGAAATCCCAGAAGCTCCCTCTGCTCCCATGTTTGCAGTAGTCAGTATCCAGTGAATAGCAGAAGGCTTTAGGAAGAAGGAAAGCAGAAGCTGGTTTGTTTTTTCTTTTTTGTGTAACAGGTTTCCTAAGAAAAGTCAGTCCTGTAAGAAAATAAGTGGAGGAAATCACTGATGACAAAGATGCGGCAGAGTTAGATGATCTTAAGGTCCTTTTGAGCCCTAAATATTCTATGGTTCTATGATTCTGTGCTGAGAGTATACTGGAAAAGCGTAACAGAATTTTATATTAAAACTTTTTTGAGTCTTTGCACTTGTTTCTGCTTATCAAGCCGTAATTGCCTCTGATGAAGCATATGCTTGATAAGACAGAATGTGAAATGCATCACGATGTGGATTTTTTAATGCTGGGCTGAGCAGAGCTTTTTTCTACAGGAATATTCAGAGGGAAAGGGACCTGGATAGTCTGCCAGGATTTCAAGGAGAAGGCTACATGTCTCTATGGTGTACCAAAGAAGTGTTTGGAAAATGCACGGGAGGGAGAGGAAAGGTGTACCTGGCAGCAGAAAAGCAAGTGGTTCTGAAAGCAGTAATGGGAATATTACTATCTCTTAATAAATGATTAATATGTTTCACAGAGGTTTTTCTGAATAAAGTTGGCCTTTGTATATGCTTTTTGTATGCTCTTTAAAAGGAGAGTGAATTTGCCATAAGACAAACCAAGAGTCCACTTTACAATAATACAAAGACAGCTGTGTGTAACCAAGAAGTGTTTTTTTCCCATTACTTCTCCTGAGAGACTGCTCCTTCAAATGCTTAATTTCTTATTTTTAATTTTGAACAGGAAAAAATAGAGTGTGCTTTCTGGGGCATTTTTGAAAACAGTATTTCACCATGGAAAGAAGAATGTCACATTTGCTCTGTGCATCCAGCTTTCTGTCGTTTGAAACTCTTTTGCCATTATGTGTGGTCAGTGTTTTGGGAGACTCCTGTCCAACTGTATGGCCTTCTAAACATTGTACCTGTTGCATGTATCTGTTCATAGTGTTCACATTCAGGATGTGAATCCTCCCAAAGACCTTTAAGGTAATAGTGTTTGGGGATCTTTTTGTGGTCTGTCAATAATATTGACTTCCAACTTGTTATTCCCAGCTTTCAGTTAATGAATCAAAAAAAGGTTCCCATATGTCAGAATTAAGAGGGTGTGATCAGGCTGGAAAACATTTCCATTGTCAAAATGGTTTTGTTATAGCTGTGTGTTCTCCATATTGATTAGAAGACCTTGAAATTCCTTGGTTGTTTTTTCTAGGACCATTACTCAGCTTCTGTTTTGAAGCTCTTTCTGAAGTATAGAGTACATGGGGTCTTTTAAATAAAGTATTAATCTGTTTTTTAAGAAACACTCCTGTATGCTTTAATATATTAACTTTTTTTTGAAATTACTTTGTTTCTACCCAGAGCAGGCACTAATACTGTGACTTCTCTCTGCTTACAGAACACTGTATGAAAGTAGGATGATGTCAGGTCCCAGGCAAGTGGGGAGGGGCAACAGACCATACATGCTGAAGAGCTTTGCATATTACAAGCAGAGAATATGTTTGGGTTTGGTTGTTGATGTGGTTTTTCGTGGTGGTTTGGTGTTTGTTGGGGAGTACACACTGAATAGATGTAATCTCTTTGGGAATGTTTTCCAGATACTAAGTCTAAATTCTTCCTTATTCTGTTGCAACCTATTTCTTCTGCTTCACCCCTTTATTCCCACATTCCCAGTTGTGGATAGGACCAAATTCTGTGCTTGGTCAACTCATTTGAGTGAAACAGCTTTAAATGGAATAATGGAATTTCTTACTCATTTGCAGTTATGTAACTGGCGAGAGGATCCAGCCTCTGTAAGGAGATGCATTGCCTTTTTGCTTTCACATGGGCACTGTGCTCATTGTCTCACCAGACTCTTATGAAAGGGGAAAATATAAAATATTTTTTAATTGCCAAATCAGATACAAATGAAAAAATGACATTTGTTTTTTTTAAACACAGATATTTATAAGTTTATGATGTTGTGTCAAGTGGAAGTAGTAATTGTTTTGCCTGGATGAAAGCCATGTCTAGCTCAAACTAACCTTAAGCAAAGTCTCGAGATTGCAGAAATACTGAGTTCAATATGGCAAACAGTTTTCTGAGTACTGCAAGTGTTATTTTTGTATTTCAAGTCCAGCTTTCTTGGATAAAACAGTGAAAATGTCTCGCACATCAGTTTTCAGTTAATAGAAGTTTTGATATCCCTGGTTTTATTTGCTTGAAATTTAAAACATAAAATGGTAATCTCTTACTCTGAGTGGTGGAAGGACCTTGTAACAAACCCCAGAAGATTATTGTAGGAGGAGCCTGATAATCCTTTTTTCCTTTTTTTTTTTTTTTTAATGCTAATTCTCCTTTTGCAGTGGGAGTAAGTGATGTCATCCTGTCTCCTCCCACTGTGTAAACTAAGCTCGTGTCAAAGTGTTCCTGCCTCTTGCCACAGAGAGAACAGTTCACTTAAATGCAGCTGCAGTACTTCTGTGTGTTACCTGTCACAATCATTCCCAGTGCAAGGCTGGGTTTGTGACTATGATGGCAAGATCGGTTTTTCTCCTTTTCTGTGGATATATTGCACTAAACCTGGGAAATGCTCAGAAACTGCCAAGAGGCAAGTAGCTATGACAACTTTCTGGGGTTTTGTTTGTTTTGCTGTTGTGGGGCTTTTTTTTTTCTTTTTAATGCTTGTGTTTTGGCATGGAAGTTTACTTTCAGCATGTTAAGAATGATAAAAAATAATGGAAAAGATGAAAGAACAGTCGACAGGATGGGGTGCAGGTACAAGAGAGTAAAGACCTTTAATAAAACAAGCTGAAATGTCTTCAGGTATCTTGTGACTTTACTGAGAGGTTACCATGAAACAAAGTAACTGTATTTAATGATTTTGTAAGGATGTAGACAGCATCGTGCAGGTTTGTGGTTTAAGATCTTAAAGAAAATGTGACTTAGAAGCATCCTGTGTTATTGTTGGAAAATTTCAGTTCTGTCTTGAAATAACTTTTATGCTTTACCTTTATATCCATCCTTAACAATTCAGTAGAAATTGACTTTTGTAGGTCAGGTTGTATGCATTTATTGAAATTTCCACCCTCCAAACCTGTGTGAATATTTCTTTAACTATTCCTTTCTGCTGGAGTCTGGAAGTACAGTAGATTTGCAAATCTGGCAGGGGTCTGTTCTTTTCCTTGCTAATGTCACATTGACATGTATTTTATTACTGCAGGAACAATAGTCACAGCTTAAAATGAAAAGAATATTTGTGTATCTAGATTGTAGTACTTTGGCATTAAAACAGCACTTTCACAACTGTTTCTGTACTGCACGCATTGCTCTCACTTTGTAGAAGCGCTTGCCTGAGTCCATTGTGCTTTATAATGCATTTTACAATAATGCATTTTACATCTGCAGTCTCCTGAAACCAGTAACATTTAGAAAGGGAGCTGTGATTTAGTTCCTTATGAGAACATTTATTAAGAGATCAGCAGTTTAAGGGCTTCCTAGGAGATTCTGGTTCATAGATGTGGAACCTAAAAGTGTTTTCAGGAGAAGAGGTGATTTTTTTCCCCCTCGCCCCTCCTCAGGAGACTTTTTTTTTTTTAAAGATTACTTTTTTTTTCATCCCCCCTCCTCCCACCCCTCTGGTGATGTTCTTTTGGAGGTGGCTTTCTTTTAACCTCCTCTTCTTGAGCCAGTGTGGAGTTTTCTGCAATGGGGCAATGTGTAGTCAGATATGCAGTTTTTCAAGTCAAGCAGACTGTAAAACCTTAGTTTTACAAAAAAAAAAAAAAAAAAGCAGCCTGTGAGTAAACTATTGTAGCAGTTTTCATAGGACAAAGAGAAACCTTGTACAAAAATCAACTGAAAGTTGACTGACAAGGGTAATGGGTTAAAACTTAAACAGGGGAAGTTTAGATTGGATATAAGGAGGAAGTTCTTTACTGTTAAGGGTGGTGAGGCACTGGAATGGGTTGCTCAGGGAAGCTGTAAATATTCCATCCCTGGCGGTGCTCAAGGCCAGGTTGGACAGAGCCTTGGGTGAGATGGTTTAGTGTGAGGCGTCCCTGCCCATGGCAGGGCGGTTGGAACTTGATGATCTTAAGGTCCTTTCCAACCTTAACTTTTCTATGATTCTATGTATTGCCTGCTTTGAAGGAGGAGCTTCTCTAGTGCTCATCTGCCATAGAATAGTGGCTGTAAATTTATGTTAAGTGTGAAATTCAGACAAAGCTATTGATCCACTGCAGTCAGTAGAGGAGTAACTCTGGGATGCATCTTTTCACGTCCTAAAATAACATTGCAGAAGTGAAGTTCTGTTTGCCAAATGCAGAAACCTACAGAAAGCTGCAGGTGGAAAATTCATTTGTTTTCAGTGAAATAGCTTTTTAAAGATTCCCACTTTGCATTGTTGAAACACCAGTCTAATTCTTTTGTTTGCAGTTGCCTCTAAGGGTATTATTTACATTGCTCTGCATTGAAAAAGCAAATATACTGGTACCTAGCTGTTACCTGGAAATGTTCAGAGGACTGTCTTTCTGTCAACAGTCTCTTGTTTGAAATGGAGTACAGATGTTTTTCACAAGCAAAAGAGCATATTTGTATCTTAAAGTATTTTTAAAATGAGGATATGTAGTGGTAGTATTCTGTTAAGAGGGCTACTCTGCCCTGCTAAGCAAACTTTAATTCTAGTGAATTCCTGTACTCTTTAAGTCATAAACTATGTAACTAAGGTTCGAGGGTGACTCCTGCTCTGATGGGAACCATGGAATCAATTTTATAACTTAAGGGAGAACAATCTAGACAAATTTTTTTGGTGGTACAGGTATTCCTGTGAACAGGTTATCGATGTAAATCTTATTCTTCTTACTAGCACTTTGGAGTTCTCTCAAGTCTTCTCTCCAGGAGGTGAAACACACTGATCACTGGTCTTGTGGACTGGGATTTCCTTTAAGTGATCCGAGGTGGAAAGAACATCTTGCCTCCTACAGCTGCAAAGGAGCAGAGCCAGCACACCCTTTGGATGTCAGTAACTTCCAGAGCTGTGTGAGAGATTGTGTGCAAATAATGCTGTTCAGGAGGCTGGAGGACACATGGTTTCCCTTTTCCTGTGTGTTTTTATACTTTCACTTCCACAAGTGTGTGTTTGACTAGAATGACAAAGAAAATGTTATTGGTATTCTCAAAAGAGTGTTCTTATTAACAAATTCAATTCTTTAATTATTTCGACTTCAAAAATTAGGGCACTGTTGGGGGAATAATTTGGAAGCACTATCAACACTCAAGGAGTCAAAATCGTGGAAATATCAGTTAAAATATCCAGTGGGAACTTTATGCTGCTTCTATATATCCTGCATTATAATAATTTTGTTTGCATAGAAAATAGGTCTTTACTTACATCTGGTTCTAGTGTAGCGCCCTAAATGCAGGTGAACACCCTTTCTCTTGCAGTTGTCACATTTACTATAGTAAATGACAAGTGTTGAAGCAGTTGCAAGCTGTGTCATAATTCTGACTCTCTACATTAAGATTTTACAGTTACAAATAAAAGCAATGGAATTGGAAAGGGAGCTTGGTGGGTATTGTGTTTTACTGTGCAGACAGTGCCTTTTTCTAATTATATTGTGTTTCATGAGTCTCTGAGGGATCAGCTGCTAAGAAAATTCAGTAGTTGGGGCCTATGGAGATCGTGAAGAGTCACAGAAGAACAGGGCAGGAGATGATGGTAAGATTAGGGATGGTCTTTTATCAAGTAATGGAGCCACTGTCCCTTTGACTATGTCAGCTTCTAAAGCTTTTTTCTTTTTCATCAGAAGGGAGAGAGACTTGGACATTTTGTACTTATTTTTGTCTCTTCCATTATGCCACTATGCTTGTGCCATCCAACATATAATACTTCAGTTCAGCACTGTCAAACATGAAATATTTTAATGAGGTGTGGAAACAATTGCAATGCATAGGTGTCAGAATTGTAACTTGTCATACTTTCTCTAATTTTTTATGGTTCTGCATAACTGAAATGTTTCATCCTTGAAGAATGCATCATTGTCTTTCTAGACAGGAATTGAGGACAAACAAAAAAGTCTTGTCTTTAGAGAAGGAGCTGGTAAACAGACCATCCTGAATCTTAGGGACAGATGAAAGAGCAATGCAGAGACCAAGAATAAACATGTTACAGGACAAAATCCACTAGATTGTACACGGTGTTTCACTGGCATCTTTCCAGCCAGACCTGATACAAATGTTGTTGAAAGCAACAGTTGTGGAACAAATTCTTAGTGTTTGGTAACAGCATTTGATGTTTTTGATTTTGCCACTTGACTTTCCAGATGTACCTAGAAATGCACTTTTTTTTTCACTATAATCTCTTTCTGATAGCTTTTGTGTATCTTCATGTTCTGTTTTTCTTTGTTAGAGTGGAGAAAATTTGGGGTTGATATAAACTTGCCTTTAAGAGTCTGAACGCTGTCCTTTTATATTTTTTTCCTTTTTTTGGTGTTGTCCCTGTTCCCCCCCCCCCCCCCCCAATCCATTGTTCCCCCCACCTTTGATCTCTCTGTTTTTCTATTTGAATTAATCATCAAGTGGATTGCATTTAGGGTACATCCTTGTTCTACTTTCCAGAACTCAGGCCTATCCTGTTCTGCTTTCCAGGAAGAGCTCAGGAAACCTTAATTCACCTTATTCCTAGTAGCTGCCTTCTTAGGGAAACATTCCTTATGGAAGCACATGAAAGAGCCTGATTTACAGACTCATGTAGGGAAAACCAGATCCAAACTTTCTTGTTTCTATAGTTGTCAATTGTGGGGATAAGTGGGAAAAATAATAAGGTTTTTTGGTTTCTTTGGTAAGTATACAGGAATGTTAGAAAATACTGTAGGTAACTACTAGTTAAGATTTGTACTTATGGTAATTATAACTGACATCTCTTTGAGAGTGAATGCTGTATTTACAGTATACTTCCAAACTTTTGTTGACTTTTGTGAAAGGAATAGGCTAATTATATTCTCAGCTAAATTTGCTGGCTATGCTATGTTGTGTAATACTTCTTCTTAGGCGGAGGTTAAACTCGGCATGTGTTTTCACTTACTGGAGTCGAGCAGTTAAAACAATATAGTTATTTCAGTCTATCTCAGTTGCTATACTGCAACAGCCAAACCTTAGTCTTTAAACTTTAGTGTGCTGTCCCCCAGCTCCCCAGAAGCACCCCTTTGGTAGCTGTAGAATAGCAGGGTAGAAATCATAAGACAGGAAAAAGTGTCCTGAATGTTGGAGAGTTTTTTTAACATAGAATAAAGCTGGCATATCAGAATATCACAAAAGGAGTGAAATGACATGTGGTTTATATGTTACTTTCTCCATGGTTTATGGAACATCTTTCTGGGAACTATTTTTCAAATTACACAATGCATTAACCTTCAAAAAACATATTCTAATGAAGCAGGTCCAGTTATTGAAGTTAATTTTTTTTTTAGTGTCTAGAAAGAGAAGTGCAAAGTTAATTTGATTTGTGCAAAATACTTCTTTTATGTTTAATGGCATAAAAATGACAGTAAAGTCCTATAAGAAATTTCAAAAGGATCCTTCTAGCTGGTATAATAGAGAGGCAAAGGATTT